GAAACAGCTAGTTGATTTTTATGAGATACAGACATTTCCTTAGTTCAGAATTTCTGTAAACAAGGTATGATCTTTGTAAACAGAATAATGAGAAATTTTCCAAGCTGTAAACCAGACAGCACCATCATAGCTAAGACTTCACAATTAAAACTTGTACCTTTGAACTGTAAGCAGCCTTCCATTCTCACTACAAAGAATTATGGGCGATTTCAAAAATCTAGGAGGCCAAGACTATTATTTCCCTATCACTGATTTTCTCTGTGTGCCATCTTTAATTGTTCAATTTAAAAATACACCATCCCAATTGAAAGCACATATTCTGCTATTAGTAAACAAACCAGTTTTAGTTACATGCATGTGAGGCAGAGCCTTTCACCTTGAGGTAAGGTGTCTGCAAGAGTAACACAAAGCAAGGGTAATAAGATAACTCTTACCTCCTGTCACACACATTTAGCCTTCTCCAATTTTCACTCTGTTGTAACAGCAAACTGATTTTTGAGAATACAACCAAGCCAGTATTAATATTCTGGTAACTAGGTGGCAAATTGTAACCTGCATGCCCATGACTAACTATCAACATCAACACAGTGGGGCAAACTTCAAGGAAAGCATAAATTATCCACATCTGTAACCGTTCCGGTTTTGAATTGGTTTATTCCAGTTCATATTTCATCACCTTCTACAACTCTCTAGAGCAGGAGCTTAGAGTCTTACACCTTTGGGACAGGACACTGAACACACATGGCTGCAGTTACCACACCAGTATTGATTACTAGGTGTTTCTCTGTGTGCCAATGCACACTGATGAGTGAGAAAACCGGTACAGCCGACAATACAATGTCTCTTTCCTTTCCAGAGAGGCAAGAGAGGGACCCAGCTCTCAGCAGCAGTCTTCTGCACCAGACACTCTTTGGAGCTTTGCTCTAGCACATTAATGTCTCCCCACTCTCCCTGCTTAAAGCGAGTACATTGGCTGCCATTCACAGAGACCAATTACCATTTCAAGAGGAACATTTTGGCAACAGAACTGTTTATATGGAAAACAGATTAAAGCGAAAATCCAACTACCATTGTAATTTCAAAACCCAGTAGGACTCTAGACATGCATTTTACTTGCTTATTACTGCTATAATAAAAACTATGGGGTATTCAACTAGAACATTCAAGTTTATTTTGACATGAATTCATTGTAGAATCAACAGGTTTTAAGCTGACATCAAATGTCTCAAAATATATTGCACTGCTTTTAGAACTAAGGCTCTCTTCTTTCAAGAAATACAATCAGTCCCCATAAAAATAAATGCCAAGGTTTCACTTATGAATTTCTGCAGTATTGACTTTTTAATATGACGTCCAGTAGTGCAGATTACTTTCTAAATGGAATTCTTATGCCGAAGGCTATGCCCCAGTATCATAAAGATACTAAGAGAGATTTATCTGTGAAGCACTCATGTAAAAATCTGACTGTACAAGCAGTTAAAAGCATCTGTGGAGAACATACCTTGTGTAAAAACTGTAATTTCAGACCTTAATCCATTGCCATTGACCATTCACTAAACACATTCAACACAGCATTGTTGAGCATCTTAGAACAGATAGAACATAGTGAAATAATTCCTGATCTGCCTGAACAGAGGAATAATCAACAGAAATATACCTGTGATAAGTGCACTGATTTGCCCTTCAAATTAGCCACAAGTTGCTTTAATAAAAGAGCCATGTGCCCAGATCAACTTTTTTTTCCCCTCCATCATTGACTAAGTTTTAAAGGTCCTGCCAAAACACTTCAGTATTCATGTTCTGCTCATTGTGAAAACAGAAGTTAGGATTTTCTGTCAACTAGGTAGTACAACCATTACAACAAAGTGTTCAGTACACATTGGAAACTTTATTTTTACAGTTCATTAGTATAGATATTTTCCTGTGTAAAAAGTATAAAAAATAACCTTACAAGTCAAAATAGTCTACATCTGAAATTACAATTTTACCAGCAAGCATGGAAAATAATTATTTATAAACCACCGTGTCTACCAATTCTGCACTGTTTTGACTACCACCAACCTCATTAAAGAGGAAGAAACAGCCAAATATCTACTAAGAGACTTGCCTGAAGTCACAGTGAGTCAGTGGCTGAAGTAAGAACACAGTCCTGCTCTCCTGCTTTCCACTCCAAGTCCTAAACACTGGTTCAGCACAAATTCAGACCCCTACCTGGGTCAGGAGCCCTACAAGGCACAAGAACTGGCAGGAGCCAAACAACTCCAGAGAGACAGAAATCCTGTAGGTGGTGACTGGAGTTCATGAAGGGAAACATTCACACTGCCAAGCAGGATGCTACCTACCTGACAGAACAAGCTGACCAGGAAGCTCAGAGTGTTACTGAAGCCTCACAGAAGCCAGAGTTTGGAACAGTAATGCCCTCATTCTTTCCTGTGGACTATCAACTGCGGCTGAAGTACATATCCCATGACTCAGTTCCTTCTCTCCTCTGGCAGCAAAAGTACCTACAACTAGCATCAGTTCAGATTCAATGTGTCTATAGTATCTCTACGTCTTGTATCACAGCTACAGCACTATTTGAAAAGGTATATTGATAATAACTGGCAGAGATCATCTCTTTAGTGTGAATACTAAAATATTTGATTTGAAGCAATTATCAATTTTTTTTCTGTTACTCTACTACTAGGTGTTCTACAAACAACAGTTTAGTTAACAGCTACATTACTATCATATGGCTTTTACCAATTCACTTTTATAACCCAAGGATTTATTCAAATTAAAAGGAGATTTCTGAATATGTTAAAAATTAAAATGCTGGACTGCAGGAACAACCTACCTTTACTAATTCTTTGTGCATCACACTGCAACAAAACAATTCAAGTGGGCAAATTCTGACCGTGGCTTCTGCAAGAGAATTTATTCTGAAATAAACAAAGACATCACTATTTGTAAAAAAAAAATCAATCTCAGTGGGAACCTATAGAGCAAAAAACCTAACAGCTCACTTTCAGAAATTAGTGAAAATTGTAACTGGCAAAATATGTCTCCCTTCATTCCTAATGGAGGAGGACATTTTGTTGACTTCCAAGAACACATTCTTGTTTCACTGGATGGATGAAGCCAGCAGTGCAGACAGACTTAGTGGACAGAGAAGCTCATGCTGCGAGTTTTAATGTACAGATTCAGTGTAGCAAAGTAGGCCTAGAAACACAGTAATGTCACATAGAAAGAAGAAAAATAAATGCCAAGCTGCAGTGTCTCTTCAGGACTGAGTTCACGTTTCCATATGTAGATTCAATTTTTAGACAAAACAAGTCAATAAGCTTACCTGCAGTGAAAGCCATTATGACTGCCTGAATTACTGCCTCCTAAATCTGCAGAATGTGGTCTGTCAAGTATCAGATGATGATACATAAACAGCTGCCTAAAAACCTCTAATGCATAAACGTAAGCAACCAAGGAAAGAACAAAATGGAGAAAAATGGAAACAAACATTCAAAGTTAAGCTTATTTTTTTATTTGGCAGTAAATAAAAATCACTGTGGCATTGTTGTACAAAATGATCACTGGAGTGTAATTTTTGTTAAATGGCCATTGGTTACACAGAAAACTGGGAAGTATTACTGTGTGCTTTTAGTATACAGACCATCCAGAGCCATTATTTTTTTACAATTTCTGTCTGTGTTGCAGGCAAGGCTGCACAACAGTTATGGTATCAGATCAGGGAATTTGCCATGACAGTGTATACTGATTCAGAAATGAGATTTTGGGCAAGTATAAGAATCCATTTGCACAGATCTAACTACCAGCTGGGATCACTACAGCATCTGTGTTTGTTCCTTTCTCTAGTATAAACCATACTATCGTCTTAAGTTAGTATATCAAAAGTTCAATGACAAGCAGCACTTAAAGTGTGAATAGATTTTGCAACTTTGACACAAAACATTTTTTTCCTTCCCTTTTCCTGTTTTTCTGAGGTGCTTTTTAAACAAGATAAATTTCTGGCAAATGATCAGTATACTGCATCTGAGAAATATTGGGTTTGCATGTCAAGAAACCTACAAATTTTCCCTTCTGCAACACTGCAGACACAAAAAGAAAAAAAGTCTGTTATTCTTATTAATATTTCATGTTGTTATAAAGACTTTGGTATACTTCATTCCAGCCAATACTACAACATGAACAATATGGGAAAAGCAATGAAGACTTCAAAGTTATTATTTTATTTTGGCACACTTCTTAAGTATTAAATGAGCTTATCACATTTCTCTGCTACTACTTCATGTTTAAAGATCAAATGATATTTCTGGAAAGCAGTTACACTCCAACTTCAATTAGTGTAGCAAATGCTACTATGTATTTGAAAAGTGCTTTGTATCAGATATTCCAAGGCATATTAAAGTAATTTTTGAAATGCAAATTTTTACTACTCATTGAGGTAAATGGGGGGGGAAAAAAAAAAGGTGCACCAAAAATGACTAAGAGGCAGCCTTAGCTAAAACCAATGCTGAATTCCCTCCTCAGGCAAAAAAATAAGCCACAAACAGGAATTTTGACAGAAATTGATTCATGAAACAAACTTTCATCTTTCAGATTTCCTTCAAATTAATGCTCTTACATCACAGGGAAACAAGGCACCTGTGAATGCAGAAGTAGGCAGAAGAATCCTAGCTTTCTGGAACTTACATTCCTTACTAACTTCTCCCACCCCTTAAGAGTTCCACATCTTTTTCCACTCTAATGCCTTTTCACAGGCAATCATAACCACTGAACAACAACAATCACATAGGCCCGCAAGTTTATACATATACGATTACAGTATAGTTATATCCAAATTTCTGTAAAGTCAGCACAATGTCAAACTATACAGGAAGTGCAGAGGAAACTAATTCCCCAATCTGTTATACAAAACAGCTTGCTGAAAATATGAAGAAATCGTCTCCTGAGAGAAAAATCAGGAAAAGTAGGGAAAAAAATATACAATTCACCTTCCTTGAATTTTATTTTGATTCAGCCTCTTCATCCAGGAATTCAACTAGTGGAGCATGCCTGTTGGCTTGGGCACCTTCTTGGAAATTGACCCTTTTTATCACGCCTGCCTTTGGAGCCCTTATGGTATGCTGCACAGAAAGAGATCAACAGAAAAACAGTGCTCAGCTGGTTCCATCTCCTCTCTCTCTTCCCCCTCTTCCGCAAATACTAGTATTACTTTTCAGTGCAATTAGTCTTAATTGCTTCCCCTGGCACATGTATGTTTGCTTTCAATATTCTTTTAAAACGTTATCCTAGTCCTTTTCAAGTTTTATTTTCTCATCAGTATTCATTTTGCTAAGTATTTTGGGGACAAAAATGCTACATAATGTTATATTTCGAAGTATGAACAGCTGAAAGTTATTTTACTTCAGTGATACTTTTTGTTATTATAATAAATACCAGGCAGAAATAATACAGTTTTAGTCCAAAATGTTAATCATATAGCAGATTTGTTCCCTTAAGAGGAATCTGCAGATTTACTAAAGATATTTTTGTTTGCTGGCCAGGATGGGGCTTTATTGAACAGATATTTGGCAAAATATCCCAAGCTCAAATACAAGCTAGGCAATGAGTGGATTGAGAGCAGCCCTGCAAAGGAGGACTTGGGAGTATTAGTGACTGAAAAATTGACTATGAGCCAGCAATGTGTGCTCATAGACCCGAAAGCAAATCACAGCCTGGATTTTTAAATTTTACATTTTGTATTTCAATAGCACTGAAAAAAAAAAAAAAAAATCCAGATAATGTCAGTTTGAGGTACCTGTTAGGGAGCCACAAACATTTAGCATCCAACTGCAAGTAATTGTTGGTGTAATTTTTCTTTTTAGTGCACAATTGCATTTCATGCAATTTTAGTGCAATTTATAAAAAGGCATGGTAAGAGAAAGGCAAATTTTCTCAACAATGTTAATTCTGCCACCACAAACTGAAGTTTAAAATAAATTAATATCCAAGAACTGGCTACAAAAACTATAGCTCAAACAACCTGAGCCATGGTCAAGCAATGTGACAAGATATAATGGCCAAAATGCTAGTCCACTGAATGCCATGTAGACAGTTATGAAAAATCTTCAGTGCACTCTTGCTAAAATTTACGAAAACAATAATAAAAAGTTTATGAACAAAAAAGAATCCTGGGCATATTTACAAAGTCGCCATTAGCAAAGTTTCTGCATGAAGTAACTGCTTACAGGTGCTTTTATCACAAACAATGAGCAAGAGATACATCCTTGACAGTTTGCTGCTAGAAAAATGAAAGGAGGGAAAGGGAAGAGGATTGACAAAGCTATCCAAATGAATGTTAAAACATCTGCAGAATACCACGGGTTATATAATCATCATTTCTTAATAACAGCAAATATAATCCTCTCAAATCTAGTCAGCCACAACACTTGTTTTACAGCCTATGAAGGGATACTGACATCTGCAACCTATACTCTGCACCATACTTCAATAATGCTACCAAAAATGAGTAAATCCTGACCAGATTTTTATTTCCTCAGTAATTAAAACCTTTTACATATCACTTACCTCCATTTTCATAGCTATCATAACCATTAGAGGGTCTCCAGTTTGAACCTTATCCCCTGCTTTCACAAACACCTACGATTCAAGAGAGAGTTGTGAAAAAATCATGCACCTCTGTACCATTAAAAAGCATCAGCTGGATCTTGGCTAGCACGATCCACTGAGTGACTGTGGTTTTACAAAGCAGCCTCCTCTTTATTATTGTTGAATTGGGTATCTGAGCTTTCTAGATAAACCTTAAGGAAAGTCAGAGGCTACAGAAAGAGGTTCAGTAACAGCTAGCACTATGACCAGGAAGCCATTTATGCATCAATGAAGAAACATTAGAAGAGACAATGCATGTTCTAGCTCATCTGGCTTTGAGACCTATTTTGAGAAAGTGCAGAACCTCTTCCTGAAGCCAGTCCCTAAAACTGTTTTTAAAACAAAAACCAGAAGGATTCCAACAGCCACCTAGTTTTTCTGAAATAACTCTGATTTAGAAGGCAGGAGATCTACATTCAAACTACTCCACCCCCTGAAAGGGTTCATGCCAATTTATTGCTACCAGAATCCTCCAACTACTGAACTCTCCTGGAAATCTCTTTTCTGTTGTGTATTTCTCTGTACAGGGACAAAGTTACAAGACTTCCTGAGCTAAACAAAAACAGAAGCAGCAAAACACACAGTTTAACAAAAAAGGCATTCCT